ACACGCCCCCTACTGGGGATCGAGCCCACAACCTGGGCATGTTCCCTGACTGGGAGTCAAAAGCGTGACCTCCTGGTTCCTAGGCCGATGCTCTATCACTGAGCCACTCTAGCCCAGCCTTAGTTTTCTTAAGTTGAGAGTGAAGCAGGTTCATAAATCTCGTTCCACACAAACCCAGGGTAGGAGGCCTAGAAGCTGTTGCAAACTGTTGATTTTTTAAGGGATTTTTTTTTGTGTATGTGTATATGTGTTTTTAAGTTGTCCTAGTTTTTCTTCCCCTGGAAAGCAGAAATGGTGAACAAGTTACATTTCCGTCTCACAGTGCAAGGACAGACAGCAAATGAACTGATTAGAGAACAGCCTGGCTTTGGTTAAGCAGGAGGCGTGTTCGTGTGTTTCTGGTTGTGCTGAGGCTAAAGGCTGAGCCGGGGAAGGTTTGCCTGTTAGTTTGTTTAAAAAAAAAAAATTTATTGTCTAAAGTTTTGCATATGTTTGCCTCTTTGTTTTTGAGATGCAGTTTCTTGCGAGTAGGAATAGAAATGTTAGATAAGGGTTTGCTCTCACTCAGCGGCTTGCCAGTCGGGCCTTACATTTTGTGTGGAGGAGAAGGAGGCATATGGCTGCTTGAGTGTGGCTTCACTTAGTTTTATGATGTTTGGAAACCAGACAAGTTAAGCCATTTTCCTGCTGGGTTGGCATGGCTTGCAGCCTTGGACACACTCCTTTTTTCCTGTTAGCGGGACTTTCTGCTTAACTGCAGCTTCCTTTCCCCAGGGGCTTGGATCTTCAGGGATGAAACCCCTGAGGACGATGAACCTGAGGAATGGAACTCAATTAGCTGTATCCTAGAGGCCTAGTGCACAAAATTCGTGCACATGTGAGTGTGTGTGAGTGTGTGTGTGTGTGTGTGTGTGTGTGTGTGTGAGCCCAGCCTGCACCCTCTCCAACCACTGGCTCCCAACCGATCGCCTGCCTGCCTGCCTGATTGCTCCTAACTGCTTCTGCCTGCCAGTCTGATCACCCCCTAACCACTCCTCTGCCAGCCGGATTGATACCTAACTGCTCCCCTGCCAGCCCAATTGCCCCTAACTGCCCTCCCCTGCCGACCTAGTTGCCCCTAACTCTCCTCCCCTGCAGGCCTGGTTGCCTCCAACTGCCCTCCCCTGCTGGACATCTTGTGTCCACATGGGGGTGGCCATCTTGTGTGTTGGAGTGATGGTCAATTTGCATATCGCCTTTTTATTATATAGAATGGCTTAAATAGACCAGTCGGCTTCCTGTTTGGAGAGGTTGCTGTCTTGCTCTGTTTTTTCCTCATGTTGATCTGACGAAGAGTGAGTCCATTCTTCTGGTCAATGTCTCACCTATGTCCCAGGTGCCATCAGTCATTTTTTAAACGAATGGTTTTGTTACCTGGCATTTTGAAAGACGTTAGGAAAACTTGACTGTCTTTTTCTATGCCAGATCTTTTCCTTGCTACTTAAATTTGACTTGGTTTCAAGATGTTGAACAATTTTCTTTATATGAAGGGTACGCTCATTAGAAGTAAAAGCTGTATAGTTTTTTAAAGTTCTGTTTCCCGGACACACATCGTGCACGTGTGTTCTTACCCGGTCTGTGCTTGTGTGGGCCCGTGCTGGCTCCTGAGGCCTGGGAGGCGGAACTGGCCGTGGCTTAGCCCTCGTCTCGGTCCTGCTACCCGGCGGCTGCCTCCCGTTCTCGGTCAGAGGCAGGACAAACACTGTGAGGTGCTGACATCCCGGACCACCAGCTTCCGGTGCCCCTTGGGGATGAAATGATCCAACGTGTTGTAAACCGGTCATCTGTTGGATGGCTTTTTCCTTCACCGTTTCATTTGAACATGAGATCTTGGTTTCGGTGGAATTGCTAAGGTTAGTTTGGCTTTTCTTGGCCATTTCTGCACAGTTCTGGTTGCTCCTTCTTCCTGTCTTTGTTTTTCACTGCCTCTTATTTTTTTATGCTCTTAAAGTCCACTCAGGAGCAAAACTGTAATCAAAACACGTAGTGCGTGTCATCCAGGGTAACACTTTCAAGCCCAAGCACGTCGGGTCTAATGACAGACTGCTTTCCGAGAGGAAGTAGACGGGCTCTTACAGATGATTGAAGTGGCGCGTCTGTGACCCGGATTTGCATCTCTCTCCTGCGCTGAGGTGGAAGGGAAAGTGTTATTGGCTGTTTCTGTGCTCGCTTTATTTGCTCTCTGCCCATTTGAGCAAGATCACATTCACGTAAAACACGGGAGAGGAGGCCGTAGGCAGTGCAGGCAGCTCGCCTGTCTGGTCCCTCCTGAGGAAGGAGAACGGGGCCCAGATACGTAGCTGGCGTTTCCAGTTTTTTCATCGGCATCATTTCTTCTCGAGGATGTCGGGACTGCTGAGAGGCAGCTTCTCTTAAAACTGGAAGGGTCTCTAACGGACTGCGCCTTCCCTTTCTTGGTTTGTCCGCGGTGAGGAGCCCTTCCCTTGTTTGAGTGGAGCTTGTGATTTGGGGGCCTTGTGGGGGGAGCATTTAGAGTAGAAAGGGCTTCGGAGAGAGAGCATCTAAGGCAGTATTGACCGTTTTATTTTACTTATTTTTTAAAAATATATTTTATTGATTTTTTTTTTTTACAGAGAGGAAGGGAGAGGGATAGAGAGTTAGAAACATCGATGAGAGAGAATCATCGATCACCTGCCTCCTGCACACCCCCCACTGGGGATGTGCCCGCAACCAAGGTACATGCCCTTGACCAGAATCGAATCTGGGACCTTTCAGTCCACAGGCCGATGCTCTATCCACTGAGCCACACCGGTTTTGGCATGACCATTTTATTTTATTTTTTAAATATATATATATTTTTTACTGATTTCAGAGAGGAAGGGAGAGGGAGAGAGAGAGAGAAATATCAGTGATGAGAGAGAATTATTGACCGGCTGCCTCCTAGTTGCGCCCTACAGGGGAAAGAGCCCCCGAGTGCCCTGACCAGGAATTGAACCGTGACCTCCTGGTTCATAGGTCGATGCTCAACCACTGAGCCGGGCTGGCTGTCTCTATCGACTATTTCAGACGAGGAAACTGAAACCCAGTGAGCTGCCCAGGTTATGGGCCAGCGCAGTCCGCACCAGGAGGGAAGAGGCAGCATCTCAGGAGGCAGGGCTCTTTTGTAATCTTTGTCTATTTACCAGTTCCTCCCCAAAAAGAAACCAGGGGCCTGTTTTTAAGGCACATCCCCCAAAGACGTACACTGACCAGATTTGAAAATGCACACTATGATTTTGTCTGCTTTACAATCCTGGTAGGTAGATTTGTGAGTCAGAGGGAGTGTGAAAGTTCAAGTAATTAACCGTAGAGAGGAAGGATCAAAATAGATATTGATTCTAGATAATCCTGTCCCATGCAGCCCAATCAACACTTTGAGAATTTGCAAGCTCCATATCCATTCTGGGTATCAGGTGATTTAGGAGATATTATAATTAGGGAGGGGATCTCCGTCTGTGGCGTTTTTTGGTTTGAGGGAGTTCACATAGAATGAGTGAAAGTACATTTTATAACTACACTAGAGGCCCCGTGCATGGATTTGTGCACATTGAAAGTAAATTAATTAGAAGGTGGCCAGTGGGGCAGGACTGGGCGAGATGGGCCAGACACGCCCTGGAGCCAACTTCCCACAGTCCCTCCCTGGCTGGCTGAATTTGGGGTGGCATCGGAGCTCAAAAGGTGTCTGCAGAGTGAGTGGGGTCCCTCTGGCAGGTGGGGTCCTTTCGCCTGGCCTGTGGGGATCGGGCCAAAATTGGCAGTCCGACATCCCCCGAGAGGTCCCAGAGTGCAAAAAGGCACTCTGCTAAGTTGCTGACACTCAGCAGCTCCTACATTGAGTGTCTGCCCCCTGGTGGTCAGTGTGTGTCATAACTACCAGCCAGTAACAGGCTTTTATATATATAGACTAGTAGCCCATAGTGCGATATTGCACACAGTAGGCTGCCTGCCACTTCTGCGGGAGCCGCTCATGCTGCCCACTCTCAGAGGCCACCCTCCTCTCCTGTCCCGACCAGCGGGAGATCAACGTGGGGGCGAGGAGGCACCTAGAAGGGAATGATAGAGGACAGGAGATGTGGAGAAATGGAGGCAAGACAGAGTTCTGATCAAGCCTCAAATTTTATTTGTTGCAGCCGCAATATATGTACACAGGTTGTAGGGGGAAGTTGCCGCGGAGACATTCCAGGGCGGGGAGGGCTGTGTATCAGCAGGATGTGCCTGCAGGGGAGGATACAGCAGAGATTCTCTGGGGCGGTGCGAGTTATCACAACAGGTGTGCCGTGCTCAATGGCCAGATATGCTGCTAGGCATTTAGATTGCTTCTAGTTAACTGCCACACCGCAGCTTGTCACATGAGTTCTGGTAAGTCAGAAACTCAGTGTCTAAGATGGAGGTGTCTTTTAAGATGTAGTTACTAATTCTTTTTCGGCTCCCGACACACTCCCCCCCCCCAGGACTGGGGGACTCCAGCGAGGCTGAGAGGACTGGGTGCTGCAATCTTGGGACTATGGGGCACTGCCATATTTGTGATGGAGTGATGGTTAATTTGCATATTACTCTTCTATTAGATAGGATGATTGCATACTTGTAATAGGATGGCTTTTTGAAATTTCTAAGTATATTTTAGAGTAGAAAATAATTTATAGATAAAGGAATTCATTATATTTCTGTTTGGTCATTCAGTCTTATTCTGTTTCATGGATATCACTACTTTACTTTTTTTCATTTTTATTTTTAAAAAGCAGTGTTTTGGTAAGTTTCTGGAAATTTAGAAATAGTCATTTTATATTTCTGTTTTCCCTTTGGACATGTTAATTAAGGCAGTTTGGGTTTATTGGACAGTTTCCCAATTCTGAATATTTTATTAAATTTAAAAAGAAAGCTTACTGAGTCATGATATTCTCTCTCTCTCTCTCTCTCTCTCTCCCTCCCTCCCTCCCTCCCTCCCTCCCTCCCTCTCACAGCCAACACATATCTCTTCATGGTACAAGCTCGAGGAATGATGTTGAGAGAAAATGTGAAGACAATAGGCCACATGATCAGGCTTTACACGAACAAGAACACGACCACGCTCAACGGCACAGGTGAGGCTGCCTCCTGGTCAGCTGGCTCCGCTTCTGCCTCGGAGCCTCTGGCCACACCGCAGGGACCCGTCTCCAGGCTCTGCCTTTGCTGCAGGTAACCCTTGTGAGAGAGGAGGGTGTCTCCCCTAAACCCCTCCACTGCTCGGCCAAGCCGGGGGCGCGTTCTGTTCTGGGATCTTAAAGGTCCAGGCCTAATCAAAGTGATGAGGGTTTTGTGCAGAGACTCCAGTGAGTTCTTGCTTACCCGAATTCAACAAAATAGAACAGCAGCTTGTGCTTTTCCAATTCTCTTGTATTTAAGATAAATTAACGACAAAAAGAAAATTTTATTCATAGTAGCTGTTCTGCCCCCCACCCCCCTTCTAATGTTTATTCTAATTCCTAAAACGTTTTTCCAACTGTGTCTAGAAAATACCAGTTTTCATTATCGAGGGTTCTTAATCATTTAAAGGACTTTTTAGGGGCTAAAGGGGAATTTACAAAATTAGAAATTAGTAGCTGCTCTTGTCTTTTTAAAAAATATATATATTTTATTGATTTTTTTACAGAGAGGAAGAGAGAGGGATAGAGTTAGAAACATTGATGAGAGAGAAACATTGATCATTTGCCTCCTGCGCACCCCCTTCTGGGGATGTGCCTGCAACCAAGGTCCATGCCCTAGACCGGAATCCAACCTGGGACCTTTTGTCCGCAGGCCAACTCTCTATCCACTGAGCCAAACTGGTTAGGGCTGCTTCATTGGTCTTTTAAAAATATTTTCTGGACGAATGTTCATTAGAACTACCTAAGACTAACATGTAAGCAACAGGCTGAATCAATGAGGTAAGGCGGGTGTGAAGGGTGCAGGTAAGGCAGGTGTGAAGGGGTGAGGTAAGGCAGGTGTGAAGGGGGCAGGTAAGGCAGGTGTGAAGAGGTGAGGTAAGGCAGGTGTGAAGGGGGCAGGTAAGGCAGGTGTGAAGGGGACAGGTAAGGCGGGTGTGAAGGGGACAGGTAAGGTGGGTGTGAAGGGGTCAGGTAAGGCAGGTGTGAAGGGGGCAGGTAAGGCAGGTGTGAAGGGGGCAGGTAAGGCAGGTGTGAAGGGGGAGGTAAGGCGGGTGTGAAGGGGTGAGGTAAAGCAGGTGTGAAGGGGACAGGTAAGGCGGGTGTGAAAGGGACAGGTAAGGCGGGTGTGAAGGGGACAGGTAAAGCAGGTGTGAAGGGGACAGGTAAGGCGGGTGTGAAAGGGACAGGTAAGGCGGGTGTGAAGGGGACAGGTAAAGCAGGTGTGAAGGGGACAGGTAAGGCGGGTGTGAAAGGGACAGGTAAGGCGGGTGTGAAGGGGACAGGTAAGGCGGGTGTGAAGGGGGCAGGTAAGGCGGGTGTGAAGGGGGCAGGTAAGGCGGGTGTGAAGGGGGCAGGTAAGGCAGGTGTGAAGGGGTGCAGGTGTTGTGCTCCTTTGGCCTGCTCCCCATGGTCTCCTGGGAATGCTGGGCGCCTCTCTGACGAGTTCGATGGCTGGTTGTCAGCTGTTGTAGCCTCCGTACTCTCCCTTTAAACAGTTAAAGATTTAACTGGTGTCAGCAGTTCTTCACTGTGCCCTGTGAACAGCATACACACACATCCTACACGATAGGACGGTCTTACCTCCCAGCGTCAGGCGCTTTTTCTTAAAATGCATGCTAAGGCAGGCAATACTTTCAGACCCTTCTAAACATTCAAGATGGTCTGGAGGTACAGTCAATTTCCGTATTTCTCTTTTATTAGTGTAGATTCCTTCTAAGTGCTCCTGTAGATTGTGTATTACAGATATTCCCACAGTGACGGTGACGTATTCCAAACTAGAAGCCAGGCCAAAGGCAGTTTTCGGTTGTAACTTTTTTCTCTCTCTCTCCAAGATTATCCTGAAGGCAGTAATTCAAGTGACTACCTTGTTCAGACAACAACGTACCTTCCGGAAAACTTCACATACTCTCCATACCTCCCCTGCCCAGAAAAACTGCCGTACATGCGTAAGTGTCACCAATGTGACCTAACCGTTTGCTGGTGTTATGATACAGTAATAAAGGCCACGTGATGTGAGCATGCCAGGCACACATCGTTACTCTGGTGCTGATGCTCATACTGTGCAGCATGCTGTTCTGTTTATTTATGTATTTATTTTTGGTTAAGGATTTTTTTGGAGAGGGAGGGGGATTGAAAAGCTAAAGAAAAAGCTTATCCCTTACCCAGAAGCAACTTCTATTCTGAGTTTGATGTGTTTTCTTACAGTTTATTTTAAAGTTACTTTAAAAAAATTTCTCACCTGAGGATATGTTTATTGATTTTAGAGAGAGAGAGGAAGTGGGGGAGGGGGGGAGAGAAACATCAATGTGAGAGAGTTAATCTACCAGTTGCCTCCCATGTGTGCCCCGACCTGCTGGGTGTCCGATCAGGGATTGAACATGCAACCTTAGTATGTGCCCTGACTGGGAATCGAACCTGCAACTTTTCAGTTTACAGGATGACACTCCAACCAACTAAGCCACACCGGCCAGGGCTAACATTACTTTCTACACAGACAGATGGCTGGATAGAAAACAAAAATGTTTCAAAGGTGTTGAGAATTTAAATAAATGGTTTTACATTACATTTCATCTACAAATTGCTTTTTTTTTTTAATAATAAATCAATCTTTATTGTTCATATTATTACAAAGGTTCCTCATTTCTTCCCCCCTCCACCAGGTTCCCACCCCACCCTCTGCCCCCTCCCCACCCCCCATTGTCCTCATCCATAGGTGCACAGTTTATGTTCAGTCTCTTCCCGCATCCACCACTCCCATTTTCCCCGAGAACTGTCAGTCCACTCCCCTCCCGTATCTCTGACTCTACTACAATCAACAGCTAATATTGTTCATCAGGTTTTTCTTTCTTTCTTTTTTTTTTTTTTAATATATTTTATTGGTTTTGTACAGAGAGGAAGGGAGAGAGATAGAGAGTTAGAAACATCGATGAGAGAGAGTCATCGATTAGCTGCCTCTTGCACACCCCCTAGTGGGGATATGCCCGCAACCAAGGTACATGCCCTTGACTGGAATCGAACCCGGGACCCTTCAGTCTCCAAGCCGACGCTCTATCCATTGAGCCAAACCGGTCTTGGCTCAATCTCCTTTTTGTTGTTGTTGTTGTTGTTTTTTAATTAATAAACTTTTACACTTCTAAGAATACATTTTAAAATCTTTTAATTTTAAAAAAAAATATATTTTATTGATTTTTCACAGAGATGAAGAGAGAGGGATAGAGAGTTAGAAACATCGATGACAGAGAATCATCGATCAGCTGCCTCTTGCACACCCCCCACTAGGGATGTGCCCGCAACCAAGGTACATGCCCTTGCCCGGAATCGAACCCGGGCCTCTTCGGTCCGCAGTCCGGCCAGGCGTTTGCACTTCAGAATACTTCTTCCCAGCATGCCCCGTGCTTTGGGGAAGCCACTGATGAAGACGGGGTGAGGGGCAGAGGCAGCCGAGGAACTTTAGGTGGTGAAATCCTGGCCGCTGAGGCTCAGAGAGGGAACCCCAGCATTTGCTAGTTCCTGTTTTGTGAGATGAGGAGGCTGGGAAGGACTTACCGTATTTTTCGGACCATAAGATGCTCCGGACCATAAGACGCACCAGTTTTTAGAGAAGGGAAATGAAGAAAAAAAGATTCTGAAACAAATAGTGTCCTAAAATATTTTATGTGCATTAAAACCCAACATCACAGTCATAAACACATGTAATCAACCCTGTAAAGTAAACAGCAGCATTTAGAACCATTTTAGAGCTGGGCAAGCACCCAGAGACCACACAGAGCCGGGCAAGTAAAAAAACTTTTTTTTTTTTTACAGTATACAGTATGTGTAGGCTATATTTGGACCATAAGACGCAGGGACTTTTTCCCCCCACTTCTGGGGGGAAAAAAATGCGTCTTATGGTCTGAAAAATATGGTAGTTCTTCGTTTTGTGTGTAAGGGAACGGAAATGATTTTCTGTCTAAGACTGTTCCTCTTCCACTGGTATACACGAGAAAACCTATCAGGAGAGACTCCTTCAGTCATACGGGGTCTGCGGTAGGTGCTCAACACAAATGTGGAGCCCAGCCGGGTGGCTCAGTGGTGAGTGTCGAGCCAGGCACCTAGAGGTCGCTGGTTCAGTACCTGGTCGGGGCACATGCCTGGGTTTCAGGTTCAGTCCCCGGTTGGTGGCATGCAGGAGGCAGCAGGCTGATGTTTCTATCTCTCTCTCCCTCTCCCTTCTTTCTCTAAAATAAGTAAAAACATATTAAAAAATAAATCTGCAAAATTACACACTGGCCAGTATGAAGCCATGGGTCAGCTGTTGGTTGTCTGTTTGATCCCGAAAGGTTGCCTGTTTGATCCCTGGTCAGGGCACAGGGCCAGTCAGGTTGTGGGCTCGAGGCCCTGTAGGAGACAGCCGATCAGTGTTATGCTCTCACATGGATGTTTCTCTCTCTCTTCCTCTCCTTTCCTCTCTTTCTAAAAATAATAAAAATCTTTTAAAAAAGGTGCCGAATTGTGTTTGCAGACTTTCTCTCTTAAAAATGACAGTGACAGTAGCTGACAGTGTGAGTGTGTCCCTGTGTGCTGGCACTCAGTAGGTCCTTCACGCTCTGCAACCCCTTCGGGAGGCAGGCATTGCCATCGCCGTTTACCCACGGGGAAACCGAGGCACAGGGAAGTCAAATCATTTCTCCAATCGACAGCTGCTGGTCAGTCTGGCGGCTTCAGGAATTGCCTCTTTGGTGCTGTGCTGTTGTGTTCCCTCTGTGCACTGTGTTGAAATGAAACATAACGTTTCAATACCCGACTAGTTGTTAAATTGCAAATGTGCAAAGTTGTCAAGACGTGCGAACACGTCCCAAAGGCTATGAAAATATTCACTACTCAAAACCAAAAAGTTAAAAATGCTGATTTTTTTAGGTCGATTTACTAACGGCAATGATCGTGCGACGGTATATAATTTATCATGCAAACTGAAATTGAAAGGGGGGGTGATAATTAACAATTAGGGGGTGTTAACGGGAACAGACCACACTGCTCTGGCAGCTACGCTATGCCGCTTCCCCTCCTGATGGCTGGCTCGTCTTCATCTGTGGGGCAGAAAAAAACACATTAAAACCGTTCCTCATGTTCTTGACTTTCCAGGGGGATTTCTCAATGTCAACGTGAGTGAAGTGAGCTTTGATGAGATCCAGCAGCGCTTCTCCAGGGAGTCAGACATTGAGCCGGGGGGACACTGGAGGCCGAAGGACTGCAAGCCCCGGTGGAAGGTGAGGCGTTGTCCCAGGAGCGAGGTCGCTGCGCCTCCGAGGAGTGTGAGCTTGACTCCGAATGCACAGCCAAGTAGCTCTGATCTGGATGGATTGCAGAAGTCAGCACTTCCACATTAGTGCCTGGGAGTTCACCGTTCACACGTGAATTAACAGTGTGCCTTGGGAGGACTGTCCCTGCACCTGTGCATGTGCGAAGTCACGTGTATCAGTCTTAGCAGTTCCGTTCTGTCCGGAAGAAAGGCCGTGGTCTCTGCCTTCAGCGCCCCTGCCCCTCGGCTCACTGACCCGGAGGCACGGCCCTCAGGCCCGGGAGCCGGTGCCAGTGCGTGGGGAGGATGGCAACGTCCTGGTTTCCACTTGGGTCCAACATTGCGGTTTTCAAGCTGTGTTTCTCCGTGCCCGGAATTCTAAAGCGGCCCCTCGGAGGTCCCCGAGAGGCAGGACGGAGAGCATTGGGCTCTTTCCCTCTGTTTCAGAAGGCAGAGCACAAATGTCTTTTTTAAATAGATTTTTATTGATTTCAGAGGAGACAGGGGAGGGAGAGAGAGAGAGAAACATCACTGATAAGAGAGAATCATGGATCGGCTGCCTCCTGCACTGGGGTTCGAGCCCACCACCCGGGCCTGTGCCCTTGACTGGGGGTTGAACTGTGACCTCCTGGTTCATAGGTCGACATTCAATCACTGAGCCACGCTGGCTGAGCCAGGTATCAAACTTTTTATCTCGTTGTTATGTTGGAATTCTACTTACTGTTTTGTTTGGGAGGGCCGGCCTCTGCTGCTCACAAACACTGTCATAGAGAACCACCGAGAGCAAGCTCCGACCTGCTCTGAACACCGTGAAATCGGTTGCAGGCACGGCCACGTGCTGTTGTTACAGTCGGAGAGGAAGAGGCACTGACGCAAGTCCACGGCAAACTACGTGTGCGTGACTGGGAGGCCACCTTAGTCTGGGGGTGGTTTTCGCCTTCTCTTCTGGAATCTTGGTATTCTGCTGACATGCTTGTGGGGTTTCGGTGTACAAAAACAACATCCCTGCTGAGAAGGAGAGTTCTGTGCGGTTAAGCGTATGTTAAAAGCCCTTGACTGGCCTTGAGCTCTTCCTGTTTGGGGGCTGTGTCTCTTTTACAGCCAGGCCCCTGAACTTGGAGCACGTTGTCCTAGCAGGGGTGGGCAAAAGTAGGTTTACAGTTGGGAGTCTGCGAAACAGGGCTTTATTCTCGTATTACTGTGAATTCTTGTGTTGTTAGTATTACAACCGCAACCAACTTTTCCGGCCCCGCATGCGGCACGCACTAAGCCCGGCTTTTTCGCATTGAGCTTATGTGACAAGCAGATGCCTGGTCCGGTGGGAAGGCTGCCTGAGGGAATTCCAGCACACATGTTGGTGAAGCATTCTATTATACTAGTTGTCCTCTGCTGTTTTCCAGACCAGATGTGGTTAATAGATGAGTCTTTCCACATTTCATGATTGATGTTTCCTCCCATTGTATATATAATGTAGCCCTCTTTCTATGACTCCGCTTTTTAAACGTGTCCTGGGCCCGTGGTCGGCAAACGGCGGCTCTTTGGCCCTTTGAGGGTGGCTCTTCCACAAAACACCACGGCCTGGGCGAGTCTATTTTGAAGAAGTGGCGTCAGAAGAAGCTTCAGTTTAAAAAATGTGGCTCTCCAAAGCAATTTTGCCGACCACTGACCCGGGCAGACACATTGTTCTTCTGACGTGAGTGAGGACCGTGTGTGTTGAGTGCTATGAAGGTGAGGGGTAGGCTGTGGGGTAGAGGGAAGGGGTCTGCACCCATACACGCATGTGGGCTCGGGCGGCCCTTGGGTGTGTGCTGTGTGGCATCGCAGGGGGTCATTGGGGTTTAGAGAGACGAAGTATTCCTGTCTGTTCTCCAGTGCTCCACATCAGACATGGGACTTCAAATGCTATGGGTTGTTTTCTCCTGACTTTCCAGCAGACAGGCAGACGCATGGGCCGCGCTAGAAGTGACTCTTGACCTATCCCCCTCCCTCACTTCTCACACCTCATCCATAAACAAATCCTGTTATTTATTTATTTATTTATTTATTTATTTTATTTTATTTTTACAGAGAGGAAGAGAGAGGGATAGAGAGTTAGAAACATCGATGAGAGAGAATCATCGATCAGCTGCCCTTTGCACACCCCCACTGGGAATGTGCCCGCAACCAAGATACATGCCCTTGACCGGAACTGAACCTGGGACGCTCTATCCACTGAGCCAAACCGGTTTCAGCTGTCTATTGACCTTTTAAATGCTTCAAAACAACGTGCACCTCTCTTCTTCTTCAACCTTCCCTCAGGTCATGCTGTCATTATCCCATCTCAACTATCGCGTTGATTTCCAAACCGTCTCCCCGTCCATTTTTGGCTTTCTGTAACCAACTCCTTCTCTCATCCAGTCTCCACCATCACCACCTCTGATTTGATCAGGCTTTTTCAGTCTTCCCACCACTTCTCCTGGTGCTCAGAGGATGATGACCACACGCCGTGGGACGGCCCTCAGAGCCCACTCATCCCGCCCAGGCTCCCAGGGTGAAGGTGGTGAGGGCCAGGGCCACGTCTGCGTCTGTTTCTCATGGTTAGGTGTCCGGTGAGAAGATTCGTAGGGTGTGTGTGGCTCTAACACCACGGTCAGTGTGTGAGGGCTGGCACTTGGTTTTGCCCTCAGCGCTGCGGCTCCGTTACTGACACGTGACTGTTTTTGCTTCCAAGGTGGCCGTTCTCATCCCCTTCCGCAATCGTCACGAGCACCTGCCCATTTTTTTCCTGCATCTGATTCCAATGCTCCAGAAACAGCGGCTGGAATTCGCCTTTTATGTCATCGAACAGGTGAGAGTGCTTTTCAAAGGGTCACCGAGTCTACTAGAATGCAATACACTCTTCAATGTGGTTAGATTAAAAATATTCAGCTTCAGGTTAACTAGGTAACTAAAATGCTTCGTTTTATATTTAGATATAATTGAGTTTTGGAGTGAACTGGTAGTGGCACATATACTATGTTTTGTTAATCCATTTATCTCATCTTATATCTTACCCATTAGGCTAAATATTTGCTTCTCTCTTCTTTGTATTACCAGCTAAGTATTTCTCTGGCCTCAGTATTTTACATACACAATTCCTTTTGTCTTATTGGAAGCCTTTGAGATCTTTCCCATTCCTGTTCTTTTTTCCTGCTTCTGTAGTTGCCTAGGTTTAGACTGAAACCCATCTTTGGTTTCTTTCTGGCCTTTCCCCCTCCCCGGCTCCCACACATGGGGGCACCTGCTGAATTTCACCCCGGATTTCCACAGAGCATTGCTGAAACTGTGCATTTTGTGTTTCAAATACTTACAATTTGGAAACTTCATGTTTTGACATTGAAGAAGTAATTTTATCCCAATTTTCCCATTTCTTTTTTGCTCACACTAAGCCTGACTAAAAATGTATTTCCTTATGTAACTGTAATGGGAAGTGACCTGTTTTATTTTGTGGCTCTTCCACAAAATACCACGGCCTGGGCAAGTCTATTCTGAGGAAGTGGCGTTAGAAGTTTAAAAAAAAATTTTTTTATTGATTTTGTACAGAGAGGAAGGGAGAGAGATAGAGAGTTAGAAACATCGATGAGAGAGAGTAATCGATCAGCTTCCTCTTGCACACCCCCTACTGGGGATATGCCCGCAACCAAGGTACATGCCCTTGACTGGAATTGAACCCGGGACCCTTCAGTCACCAAGTCGACGCTCTATCCATTGAGCCAAACCGGTTTCGGCTAGAAGTTTAAGTTTACAAAATGTGGCTCTCTTGCCGAAACCAGTTTGGCTCAGTGGATAGAGCATCGGCCTGCAGACTCAAGGGTCCCAAGTTCGATTCCGGTCAAGGGCATGTACCTTGGTTGCGGGCACACCCCCAGTAGTGTGTGTGCAAGAGGCAGCTGATCAATGATTCTCTCTCATTGATGTTTCTAACTCTCCATTCCTCTCTCTTCCTCTCTGTAAAAAAATCAATAAAAACATTAAAAAATAAATAAATAAAAAATGTGGCTCTCCAAAGAAATTTCAGTCGTTGTACTGTTGATATTTGGCTCTGTTGACTAATGAGTTTGTATCCTTGACCAAAATCGAACGTGGGACCTTTCAGATTGCAGGTTGACACTATATCCACTGAGCCAAACTGGTTTCGGCAGGTCTCAGATTTTGCGGGAAATCTCCACCCAGGGAGACACAACCGATTGAACAAAAGGGAGCGTAAAAATATAAAAAACGGAGATCTTGGTAGGAATAGAAGACAACTAAGGAAAGAAAGGATGTGAGCAACTGAAACTCAGAAATAATCTACATCCTGATATTTGACGTACAACAGAAGCAGGAATGCTGTCATTCTGTAAATGTGTTGCTCACTCAGTGGCTAGCCCGGTGGTTGGCAAACTCATTAGTCACCAGAGCCAAATAGCAACAGTACAATGATTTTGAGAGCCACATTTTTTAAACTTCTTCTAACGCCACTTCTTCAGAAAAGACTCGCCCAGGCCGTGGTATTTTGTGGAAGAGCCACACTCAAGGGGCCAAAGAGCCGCATGTGGCTCATGAGCTGCGGTTTGCCGACCACTGGGCCAGATAATGACATTGTCTTGTAGTTGACCAGTGCATGAAACACTGCAGGTAAGTTCCAGTGGGCATGTGAAAGCCCTGCAGGGTGCACCGTCTTACACGGGGTCAGGTGTGTTATTGGCCATGCTCCCCAACGCTAGGCAATGTGAGAGCAGCCAGGCAGCCGGGCCCGGGGGCCTCTGTGTGTGTCTCCCGCGCAGACCGGCTCGCAGCCCTTCAACCGCGCCATGCTCTTCAACGTGGGCTTCCGGGAGGCCACGCGGGACCGGGCGTGGGACTGCGTCATCTTCCACGACGTGGACCACCTGCCCGAGAACGACCGCAACTACTACGGCTGCGGGGCGATGCCCCGGCACTTCGCGGCCAAGCTGGACAAGTACATGTACATGTGAGTGCTGCGGCCCGCCCGGGCGGCGTGACACGCGTGTCGGCCCCCGAGCCCGGCCAGCGCCCAGGAGCGCCTGCCGGCCCGGCCGCCCGCGCGGGAGCCGGGACGGGGCCGCCGGCCGGTCTTGCTCTGACGGACATTTCCCCTAGCCCAGTGCCTTCCGGGCCGTCCGTGGGTCACAGATGGTGGGATTTTGCGCTGTTTCGTGGCCGAGGGATGTCTTGTTGTGTGTACTAGTATGGACCACAGCTGCTTTATTCGCTTGTGTATTTTGGACACTGGGGCTGCTTCCCTCCTTGGCTTTTGTAGATAACGCCGCCATGAACTTGGGCGAATATAGTCTTCTGAATCCGTGTTTTGGGTTTCTTCAAATATGAACCCAGAAGTGGGTCAAGTGGGAGTTCCCTTTTCGGTTTTCTGAGGAAGTTCCACACGGTTCTCCACGGCGGCTGCACCAGCCTGCGTTCCCACCAGCGGGGCACGAGGGTCCGTCTTCTCCTCATCCTCCCCGGCACTTGCTGTCTTATTGATGGCAGCCCTTCGGACCGGTGTGAGATGATGGCACACTGCGGTTTTCATGTGCATTTCTCGTATGTCTCCTGGCCCTCGGCATGTCCTCTTTGGAGGGGTGTCTGTCCAGGTCCTTTGCCAGTTTTTCAGTTGGATGGTGTGAGTTGTGGCGTTGAGTTCTAGGAGCTCTTTATACCTTTTGGATATTAGCCGTATCAGCGGTGTCACTGGCGAGCACACGCTCCCATTCAGCGGGTGCCGGGGCGGGAAGCTGCGTGGCCGGTAAAGCGTGCCCTCGGACCCGGGGCAGGCCCCGCGGCCTCACTGGCTCTGGAAGCGGAGAGGAGAGGAAGGCCTGGGACAGGGCGGCTTCCGGAGCCAGTGGAACCCCGGATTTCGAGTATAAAGTCACGATACCAAACATGGAGTGTCCGTTCCCGCCAGCGGCTCCGGAACACACGCACCAGGTGTGCTTGCCTCACTGGGCGGTGAAAGCGTGTGCATCGGGGCTGCTGTCCGTCTCCCGGAACCTGATTTGAGCGGCATCGTCTTTCCTGGGAGGAGGGCCCTTTCACAGGGCGCCCGGGGGACGGAGGTGTGGCTTGGGTCTCAGGGCGCCCTGCTTGCTTCCTCCAGCCTCCCGTACAAGGAGTTCTTCGGCGGCGTCAGCGGGCTCACCGTGGCGCAGTTCCGGAACATCAACGGCTTCCCCAACGCCTTCTGGGGCTGGGGCGGCGAGGACGACGACCTGTGGAACAGGTGCGTGCGGGGCCGGCCCCCTGGAGGGAACGTGTCCTCGGCTGTCCCGAGGCAAGATGCTTTGGGATGGAAACGCTTGAGATTCCTGAATCCCGCTTGGTGTTTCTAACCACCCCACCACTCCCCTCCCCGCAAGAGGGCCTTCCGACACGATGGACAGCACCCCCGTGAGAGCCGTGGTTGGCAGACTGCAGCTCGAGAGCCACAGGCGGCTCTTTGGCCCCTTCTGGGTGGCTCTTCCACAAACACCACGGCCTGGGCGAGCCTAGGTTGAAGAAGCGGCGTTAGAAGAAGTTTACGTTTAAAAACATGTGGCTCTCCAAAGAATTTTCAACAGCTGTCCTGTTGATATTTGGCTCTGTGGACGAATGCGTTTGCCGACCACTGGCTTAGAGCATTCTTTTGCGTTTTAAATTGAGCTCATATCACCCGCGTTGCCGTGAGATTTTATTTCGTTCTGTTCTCGTTTGCATGCTGCAGGGTTCACTTCGCCGGGTACAACGTGACGAGGCCGGAGGGAGACCTGGGAAAGTACAAATCCATTCCGCACCATCACCGGGGGGAAGTCCAGTTTTTAGGGCGGTAAGTCCAACATCCTCTTCAGAGGCCACGTTCCCGGATCATTTAATGTGTAGGGAAAGCTTTAAAACACGCTCCCCAAAACCTTCCGAAGGGCAGTTTCTGTGCATGCCACTGTTTATATGGAAGGAATGCATTCTCGTGCCTGTTTTGAAAAGTCATACATATATCTGCACACACACATCTATGTCTGTTCTAGTAAAGAGCCCAGTGAACTGGTTATACCACAAAAGCGTTTTCTCAGCAAAAAACACAACACATTTTTCCCCTAAAGGGTGTGTCTCAGTCATAAGGGTGAGAATCGTTTTTTCAGGTGGCATTTTGAGCCTCCTAATAATGCTCACTTAGAACGAGGGTCTCTCGAGGTGTTTCACTACGTTTGAGAACCAACGACTGTATGCGCCGTGGTCAGCAAACTGCGGCTCGTGAGCCACAGACAGCTCTTTGGCCCCCTGAGTGCGGCTCTTCCAAAAATACCACGGCCTGGGCGAGTCTATTCTGAAGAAGCGGTGTTAGTAGAAGTTCAAGTTTAAAAAATGTGGCTCTCCAAAGAAATGTCAGTCGTTGTGCTGTTGGTATTTGGCTCTGTGGACGGATGAGTTTGCCGACCACTGGTCTGGCACATTAAGTGCGTGCATTCACCAGGATGACCCGGAGCATCTTCCCCATCCGTTGTTCCCTTTGGGACGTGTTTCTCTTGCTTCCCTCTTTCCTCTCCGACACCGTAGGTACAAGCTGCTGAGGTACTCGAAGGAGCGCCAGTACATCGACGGGCTCAACAACCTGGTCTGCGCGCCCAGCGTCCTGGTGGACAGGCTGTACACCAACATCTCTGTGAACCTCACGCCCGCGCTGGCGCCCATCGGAGACTACTGACGGCGTGGCCCGCGGCCGCCTGGACGGCCATGCTGACCATGCACACGGGTGTGCTCCCACCGGGGGTTCGTGGTGGATGTGGCCCGGGCCCGTCAGGCAGAGGAGCCGACTGTCCCCGGGGACCAGTGTGGGGTTGTCTACAGCAGCCTCCTCCCTCCCATCCCGAGACGCCCCCTTCCCCCGCCCCCCAGCGAGCGCTGCAGAGACCGGGTGCCATCACTAAGACTGCAGAGAAAGACACTTTTATACTGAGACCTATCATCTCACTCAAGAGAATGCTTTATTTCTGTCCAAACATACTTTGTACATAGGGGATTACATGGATGTGTTTAAACTGTTGAACCATAAGACTGTGTTGGCAGTTTTGCATGTCATGGCCTATGCCTTTATTGGACTTTCATAAACGTTTTTTATTTGCATGGAAACCAGCAGTGTACGTTTAGGAAACGGAACAAAGGTCAGCCCCTGTGGGACACGAAGGAACTGTCAATGATTGGCAGCCGGCGACTGCGGTCAACTGTCATCCTGGTTTTGAGCTTTCGACCTTCAGCCTCCGTGTGGGGAGAAGGCAGCTCTCTAGGCCCCGAGGACGGAAGAACCGTCTCAGGCCGCCTCCCTGCCTGCCTGCCAGGATTGCCCTCGTTTGCCCTTGCTTGCAATCTCCTCAGATTCTGCTAAAATCACCACCACTGCATGACTAATGCCGAGAAACATCTCAAAAGTTGTGGTGTGACATGAGATCCAGCACCTCTTCATGTTCAATGCTTTTCATGTACCTCTGGTGTTAAGTGTCAGGGATTTTGTGCCTCAGTGTTGTGTGTGTTGGCACACTCTTTTGTTTGTTTGTTGTTTTGGTTCATAGTGAATAGCACTTTTATTATTTCCAGTCCAGAAGAGCCAAAATTTTTTTTTTTTAGTTTAAAAAATAAAATAAAAACAATTTTTTAAAAGAATGTGTTCTAATGAAAACCTATAATATACAAATGAATTATACTGTTAGCTAAGAAATGAAATGTTATATTTTTATGAAGATAAATGCTTAGTAGGTAGAAAATAAATCGTAAGTTCAATTCGCAGACTCACAGAATTCAAGTTCGGAAGGCATTCTTTTTCATCTTGCCCAATTTCATTCAAACTTTTTCCCCCCACTTTTAAGAAATTACATCGCTGGTGTTAATTATTAAAATTTCCTCACTAAAAGCATGATTTAATAGAATTATATTCTAACACATAATCAGCTATTTATGTTGATGTTATAAGGCGCGTCTTAGAAAACAGGTCTTATTACCTTGACATCAAGTATGTTACTTTATCTTAAATTTGGATGAAGTTTTTAGGGCAAAAACCAAACAATAATTTTACTTTGAAAATTATCAATTATTGTTAACCAAAGATTCGTTAAATATCTTAAGATATTTTCACAAATTCAAAACAAAAAAATTGTTTATTTATACAATGAATCTTTAACAACAATGGGGAAGAATAGAAATCGGTATTTGAGAGATGTTTGGATAATAGTTGACTCAGAGATTCCTCATTTAAAAGAGAAATATGGTATTTATCTCAGGTTGTAAGTTTAATTTTTGAATTTGCATTTTCTGTGGCAATATTGGTAACACAAATGGTCACCAACCAAATCACAAAATAAGTGAATTTCTTGCACTTTTAGAAAATGGATAGCTCTCTCTGTTATGATATATAACAGAGTTTTTCCAAATTTTTTTCTTAGGAGTATTTCCAAAATATTTGTCTCTAATTTTTTTTTTTTTTTTTTTGCTTGTAGTGAATAATCAAACTGCTCAAAGTAAATTTGTTCTTAGTTTGTCTATCTGCTCATTTTCTGTCTCTCATAGTTACTGTAGTTTAATTCAATGAAATGGAGGAAAGTAAATTAGGATGTTACCATTTGTTGATTGCTAACAAGATAGTTGGGACATAGGAACATCATTAATCCATAAAAATAATTAAAAATATTTTAGTTGTGGAAGAAATTAGGGCTGTTTCTGAGTCTTATTAAGAAATCATATATATTTTTTTAAGGTGGAGCTGCCCACATTTTGAAATCTTTTTATTTTGGTATACATTTTATAGTTTCAGAGAACTCAGTTCTGTTAGTATCTGCCTTATTTTTTTGGATTAAGTCTGATAGTAATTTTTGTTTTCGGAGTGGGCCATGAATATTTTTTTTTTTCTTTTTTTTTCTTCCCCCCCCCCCCCCCCCCCCCAGTTTTGAATATGGTGTGTCATTCTGTGAAAAAACATCTTATTAGTTGGCTTTTTGTCTTTTTTTATTTTTAATTTTGCTTTTTCACCACAGACTTAAAATTGATTTTGGCCTATAATCATTTAGTATATGTTTCAACAAAAGTGACAGAGTTTTGCCCAATTATCTTTACTATTGGAAAATACTAGTAAATCCATTCTACAAGACTAACAAATATCTTGCAAATGCAGACAGTCTTCTTGATTGTTTTGTTTGGTGGCTACATTAGTGAGATGTGTTCTTACCAACGCTAGCAGGTGGGATGCGAGGTATGCCTACGGGGAAAGCACTGCTTCCATTGTAAACAAATCGAGTCAGGCAAGATTAACCCTCTCTACAATGAAGACACTTCAGATAACTTCCTCATTGTATTTCTTAATCTCAGAATCGAGAAGCATTCAGATGTGGACATACAAGGTCCCTCTGGCACTACTAGGAAAGCAACAGTGCCTTCAGCTAGAGGAAGTAACGGTGTTTGATGGGCCTGTTTTCTTAAGATAAATGTTTATTGATTTCAGAGAGAGGAAGGAAGAGGGAAACATCCATGAAGAGAGAGGATCATTGATCAGCTGCCTCCTGCACGCCCCCTATTGGGGATCCAGCTTTGAACCTGGCATGTGCCCTGACCAGCAATTGAACTGTGACCTTCTGGTTCATAGGTCAATGCTCAACCATTGAGCCACACTGGCCGGGCTAATGGGTTTATTTGTAGAAAAAGGAAGAGTGTTCACATTTGCGCTAACATTGAATCAAATTCATAATGAAGACAGTCATTTAAATCTTGCCAAAAATTAGGGTTCAATGAATATTTTTAAAAAATCTAAACTTTTATTAGTATTTTGTGAAAAGGTGGTCAGCAAGAAAACCTTACTTACAATATTGTGTGAATACAAAATTATGCATTAGAAACGAGCTTATACTTCTTTTCCCAGCCAAGAGGTTAACATCCTCTTTAAAACAAAACGGAAAAACATGCAATGCAACATTCTCCCTCTTTTCTGGCTACACATGAGAGAAAGCAGTGTTTGTGCTGTTTTACTGGGTGTTTGTCTTATATTTCCTTATGTGTCTTCTCTCCATGTTAGCACTCAAGACTTATTGTCTGGTATTTGCAAGGATGCCAGTTGAGAGCACAGTGGTGTTTATCAGAAAGAGGAAAATATACTGCGTTTATTTATTAAGATCCAAAAGGCTTTTACCTAAAATGCACCGGATTAAATGCTAGTCATTTCTTGTGTTCTTTGTTTTTTTGCTTCTCATGGAAATGTTTGTACTTTTTTATCATTGTCTTTTATGAAATACAATATTCTGAAGACTTTGTGTGATGGTGTTGTACTCACTTTCTCTTGGAAACTTTTTTTGGGTTTTCTGGGTTTTCCGTTGTTGTGTTTGTGTTTTCCACATAAAAGCAGTCCCACAGAAAGAAAACCCAGGAGCTGTGCTGTGTGCTGATTACCCATCTTCCTCTGGTGGGCGACGTCGCCCTGTGACGCTGTATGATGTTACCTCGGGGACGAGGGCTGGGGAATGGGACAGGGGTCTCTGAATCACTTCTTACAGCAGCATGTGAACTACACTCCTTCAGCTGGACACATTTCATTTAAAAAGAGCCCGGCCAGCAGTGTGGCTCAGTGGTGAGCGTCCACCTATAGACCAGGAGGTTTGATTTTATGTCATTTACATCTCAACAAAGCTGGAGGAGGGGGGTGTTCATGCCTACAAAGACCGTCACAGCAACCCCCAGGCTTGGGGTTTGACCGTGGGCACCATGGCCTCCCCATGCTGACACAGCACTGACCATCACAGCTCTTCTCTGTCTGTCCCCCCATCGCAGGGGGCCTGTTAGCCGCTCTCTCCTCCGGAGGGCCCTGGGAAACGGCTAAAACGTGATGAAGACCCCTCTAGATGTGGGGAAGGAAGTGCTGCTGCTGCTTCTGATTAGTGTGAAAGGCCCTGGATGGGCGGAATGAACGGATTTATCTCCTGGGCACAGAGCGTAGGGCCGACCGGAGGCCACCACGGCCACTCGCGTTCCTGGCAGGATCTCCTTATCAGCATCCATCACTGCTGTGAGGCTTCAGCGGGCAGTCCCTCACTGACCAGATTAACCGGGAGCCCACACACTCCTGTGGCGAATCTGTTTATCCCCTGCATCTCCCGGCTTCCCAACGCTTTCTGCATGGCTTTGAGCAAATACTCCACTTTCTGTATCGCAACTTTCTTATCTCTCCAAAGCCTCCCAAACCCAGTACTCCCAACCACTGGCCCATTTCCTGCCTGTTCAGGGTGGTTTGATTCTACAACCTGAACCTAAAGCACCCATCCCAAATTCCCCCCCCCCGCCCCACCTGCCCCGCCCCACCCATGATTTTTCAGCTTCCAGCTCCTTACAAGCTAGTTCCTACCCTCTGCTTTGCAATTACACTAACCTCCTCCAAGATATCTTGGCTGATGTAGTTTTCTACAGCTTAACTACTCCTCCATCCGTCACATCTATTGTTCAAGTACAACTTGTGATATCTGTAAGATTACAAGCCTATATTAATAAAGAGCTAATATGCTAATTAGACTGAACAGCAGAATGGCCATCCGGATCATTCAGGCTGTGGGGAGCTGTGAGGGGCCGGGGGGGGGGGGGGGGGCGGTGCTGAGCTCCTCGCACGATTCCCTGCACCAGGCCTCTGGCATTAACTGAAGAACCCTCCTGTGGACCACGGCTGACTGAGGTGGACATGCCGTTCCCAAAAGAGGTTCAATTGGCCAATAAACGTGAGACAAGATCTTCAGCATTGCTAAGTAAAGGGAAAAGGAATACAAGTAAATATTAAATGTAAACTTGACATTCAGAATGGCAAGAGGTGCCAATGAAGACAAGCCCAGGGTTAAGTGCCCAAGACAAAGCCCGGAGGAGGTCTCCTGGGGCCCAGGACTGGAAGAACCCCCGTTCGGTGGCTCACAGTAACAGCAACTCATTGTGTCGCGGTCCTGGAAATCAGAAGTTCAACACCAAGGTGCCTGCAGAGCCACGCTCCTTCGGAAACTTGCAGGGGGGCGTCCTTCTGTCCATCCTGGTGTTCTTGGCTCCTTGCCGCGTCCTCTGCCTCTGCGATCACGTGGCCACATGGCCTTCTCCCGACGTGTCTGTGTCTGCCCTCCCACTCCCCCTGTCCTCCCCCTGTGAGGACCCCGTCATGTGGGAGCAGAGCCCATTCCGCATGACCTCCTGTGCACTAACTCATCCGCTAGGACGCTTTCCAAGTCATGTCACCATCACAGGGGTGAGACGTTGGGATTTCAAAAGATCTTTTTAGGGGCCACGTCTCCACCCATAATACTGGCCACGAAAAGGCGTAAGCCAGGATGTTAACACGGAACAACACAGGACAAGGAGAAAGGGGCCGTCTCGGTGGCAGCAGCCTGGTCAGAGGACTAGTGGGAGCCAGGGAGCACGTTTCATTGATGCGGAGATGCTGCGGCCCAGCTCGCAGAGGGCGGAGCAGGGGGCGGAAGGAGGGAGAGGCCGCCCACCAAACAGTTGATTTCAATGAACAACAGTTAAGTGTACTGACAGGAAGTGAGGTTGGGACGCTAAATTCAGTCCTGACACGTGGATAAATGAAAATTTTGTGCTTTCAAACTGTTTGGGTAATAAAAGTCCCTAGCGATTGTATAGCAGCCACATGGAAAAGGAGCATGTTATAAACAGGCAGGCCAGAGACCAATAGCATCACGGCAGCTATTAGATTACATCTTATGAAACCGCCATTATCGGATCATTTAACGTACAAAAATGGCCACTGGCCAGGCACTCACTCCGTCTACACTGGAGAAGGGCCTTACCCCACAGCATCGGAGGCACTGACGTCACGCCCTGTGTTGGAAAGCTCGGTGACAGAGTCCGAACCCACATCCCACTCTTTGGAAGTGTCTGACTCTCTCTGCAGCTGGCTGGAGCGCGGCAAGGCTTTAGATGTGAACGTGGCGGGAGAGGGAAACTCGTTCTGTTCACGGCCTAAGCCTGGGGCCTGCTGCATCCTGGCGGGAGAGGAGGCACCGGACGTGATGGGGGATGACACTGACAGGGTTCCCGTCCAGGAACCCATGGAGCAGCTCCCCCCGGTGGTGGAGACGCTGTGGACCACACAGATCAGTGCTTTTCCCCAGGACGTGGGCTGCTCCGAGAGGTGCCTCCCAGGCAGGGACCACACAGCCCAGTGCACACACTGCCTCCTTCCTTCCCATCTGCCAACCAGGGGGCTTTAGGTCAGAATTTGGAGGAAAACGGAAAGATCATTTTGTTTATGAACATTGAGGCCTGAGCCTGGGGTCCCACCCGTTTCCCTGCCGCGTCCTGGCTGGAGATGGTGCACAAGTTCAAGTCCCTTTAAGCCATCGAGTAAACCACACGGGGCCTGAGTCACCCCTGGAGGAGAGCCACCCCGGAGCCACGGGCCAAGCACCTCTGTGGGACGGGCCTGCGTGGGAAGGGAACTGGGTGTTTGCTGAGCCACTGCGCCCCGGGGCTGTTCTGGCAGCATCACCTCACCCGCCCTGACCCCATACCCTTCAGCATCCTGAACCCCTATCTGGCGCCTCAGCTCACCACCACGTCTCCCGGGCCTGGCCTGGCCATCTGTTCTCTCTCCTGGGAGCACCTCCTTGCTTTTCGACCCGGAAAACCGCCAGCATCCAGGTGAAGTGACACGTATTCCGCATCCGACTCCCTCATGCCCTTTGCGGCTCCCTCTCCTACCCCCGCTGTGCCTGGGCCAGGCTCTGCCAGGTCCTGTGGACACAGTCCCCTTCGCCAAAGACCGGGAGCTCCGTCTTCCCCCGCGTGCAGCCTAAGCAGGCCTCTCGGCACCTGGCAGCACAGGAGCCGGATCCGCCTGAGAGGAGGGCAGGGAGGGCTCTGAGCATCCCTCAGGCCCGGGAGGGGGTGCAGGTGGTCCGAATGCACCAGAGGCTCCCTCCTGCTGTCTGTCCGGGCGGGCCTGAGCTACTCCTGGACCCAGGACGCGCTGGAAGGAAAAGGAGTGACAAGCAGGCCCTGAGAGCGTGTCTTTTGTGCCCACCCGAGGCTGAGGACAGTCCGGTCCTCTCATGTTCGGAATGTGTGTTTTCCATGGCTGCTGGCCGTACTGTGTGTGTGCTCAGCTTGAAAGACAATAAACTGATGAACAAAACAGATCCAGAGACAAGGGATCATGGGACAGACTGTGGAACCTCAGAGGGAAGATTGGGGGCGGGGGGGGGGGGGGGGGGGGAGAGACCAACCAAAGACCTTGTCTGCACATATGTATAACCCATGGCCCAGACAAGGGTGGTGAGGGCCTGGGGGGGAGGGGTAGATTAGAGGAGGTCAATGGGGGGGAGGGGACTATATAATACTTTCACAATAAAGATTAAAAAAACTACAGGGGAAGAAAGAAAAAGAAAGGAACGGAGGGAGGAAGGAAAGGAAAGGAAAGGAAAGGAAAGGAAAGGAAAGGAAAGGAAAGGAAAAAAAGGAGGAAAGTCAGACAATGGAAATGTAGGCATATCTCAGAGTTCGGCCAGAGACTTCGTTGGGTTCCTCTGCTTCTGTGCACGATTTGGAAAACTGTTTCAGAGTACAGCAGGAAATAAAGCGCAAGTGCCACCGGAGGAGAAGTGCTTTCATAAGAACGTTTATTGCCTCTGCCTGGGCTCCTAGCACAGCGTAGGAAGTGGCACGGGGCCTCCGGGGCTCCGTCCTAGGGGGCGCCCACCAGGGCGGTGGTGGAGTAGGAGTAGGGGCTCAGCAGCGCCGCGATCGTGTAGCGCCGCGGGCCCGAGTCGTTGGCCGTGAACACCACCTGCGGAGAGAGCACCGGGTCCAGCGCCGCCGGGAGAGGCTGCCACGGCTTCCCTCCGGGGCAGCTGGGGCGGAGGGGCATCCCGCACGGCCACCGCCCCAGTCAGGCCTGCGCAGCCCCCGGCCGACCCGCTGCTTTCTGTGCAAATCACGCTGGAAGTCACGTGGCCCTGCCCGCCGGAGGGAATCCCAGAATGCCTAGCGGCTGTCCCAGAATGCCTAGGGGCTGACCCAGAATGCCTAGCGGCTGTCCCAGAACGCCTAGGATCTATCCCATAACACCTAGGAGCTGACCCAGAATGCCTAGCAGCTCTCCCAGAACTCGTGGCGGCTGTCTCAAAATGCATAGGGGCTCTCCCAGAATGCCCAGGGGCTCTCCTAGAATGCCCAGCGGCTCTCCCAGAATGCCCAGCGGCTCTCCCAGAATGCCCAGGGGCTCTCCTAGAATGCCCAGCGGCTCTCCCAGAATGCCCAGCGGCTCTCCCAGAATGCCCAGGGGCTCTCCTAGAATGCCCAGCGGCTCTCCCAGAATGCCCAGCGGCTCTCCCAGAATGCCCAGGGGCTCTCCTAGAATGCCCAGCGGCTCTCCCAGAATGCCCAGCGGCTCTCCCAGAATGCCCAGCGGCTCTCCCAGAATGCCCAGGGGCTCTCCCAGAATGCCCATGGGCTCTCCCAGAATGCCCAGCGGCTCTCCTGCCGGTTCGGGGAAGCCAGAGGGAGGATGCGGACTGGCGCCCGCTGGCGGAGGCCAGGAGGACGGCGCCCACCCCGCAGGCTGGACCTCGGCTCCCAGGTAAGCGCTGCTCTGATCGGGTGCCCGCTCCTGGCGGCCTCTCCCCCATCCCGGCCTCCTGTGAAAGCCCGTGTGTGTGAGTGTGAGTGTGTGAGTGAGTGTGTGTGTGTGTGTATATGTGTGTGTGTGTGTGTGAGTGTGTGTGTGGTGTGTGATGTGTGTGTGTGAGTGTGTGTGTGTGTGAGTGTGTGTGTGTCTCTGTGTGTGAGTGAGTGTGTGTGTGTGTGTGAGTGTGTGTGTGAGTGTATGTATGTGTGTGTGTGAGTGTGTCAGTGTGTGTGTGTGAGTGTGTGGTGTGTATGTGTCTGTGTGTGTGAGTGTAAGTGTGTGAGTGTGTGTGAGTGTGTGTGTGAGTATGAGTGTGTGTGAGTGTATGTATGTGTGTGTGTGAGTGTGTGTGTGTGTGTGTGAGTGTGTGTGAGTGTATGTGTGTGTGTGTGTGTGTGTGTGTGTGTGAGAGAGTGTGTGTGAGTGTGAGTGTGTGAGTGTGTGTGAGTGTGTGAGTGTGTGTGTGAGTGTGTGTGTGAGTGTGTGTGTGAGTGTATGTATGTGTGTGTGTGAGTGTGTGTGTGTGTGTGAGTGTGTGTGAGTGTATGTGTGTGTGTGTGTGTGAGAGTGTGTGTGAGTGTGTGAGTGTGTGTGAGTGTGTGAGTGTGTGTGTGTGAGTGTGTGTGTGTGTGTGTGTGTGTGTGTGAGTGTGTGTGTGGCATGGGCCCGGCGGGAGGATGCCGCGGGGCGGTGCCCGGAGCCCGGGTGATGGGCCCTGGCTGAGCCTAAGGGGCTGGTGGCCAGTTCAGCTGGCCCCGCGCTCCCCCGGCCGCGCCGGGCTGGGTGCGGGCAGTGCGGGCCGGGCCGGGCGGATGGGGAGGGCTGGGCTCCGGAGACAGGACTGCCCGGAGGTGTTGGATTTAATTGTTGGTGTGCAGCCCTGGCTGAGCTTAGGACGCGTCCTGGAGAAGTACGTTTTGTTCCAAACGGAGACAGACAGTCTTGATGACGTGGTGACGAGAAAAGAGACCTGACTGAGTCACATCAAAACCAAAACAGCATCGGGAGGGGGGAGAGCCACTGAAGACTCTCTAAGGAGAAAGGCAGTCCCGAAGGCCAAGTCTCTGGAACCAAATTAGAAAGACTTCTTTTTTGTTGGGGGGAGGGGGCTGTTTGCACATCAACTTTTATTTTTTATTAAACACACACACCACATTTGTTGGAATTATTGCAGATGCCTCCCCCATTGCTCCCCCAATGATCCCTTCTAGCCCACATCTACCCCCATCCCAGGTAGGAAAACACCTTCTCTCTCAGAGTGACATTGGCCTCCATTCCCATTTAATTCTTCTGAAAGTTATAAAGGGCATAACCTGTGCTCAAAATTCCACGCAACGAAGAGGACAGATAGCTCCGAAGGAGATTCCTAATGCTCCCTGCCTCAGAAGGCCCCTGGGGCTGGCCGCGGAGCGGGGACGGTGCTGAAGGACAGCGGTGTCCCGGTGGGAAAGGGACTCCCAGGGCTCATGCGTGACTGCTGGCTCTCTGCCCTTCCCCAGATCCATTCAGGATCCAAGTGGCTCATGGTCCTGCCTAACGCATTCCAAGGGCAGAGATGTGTTTTCTCATTTGCATCTCTGGCACCTAGCAGAGTGCTCAACACATAGCTTTCCATTGCTAAGTGTTTGTTGAATGAAGACTAAAAGGCTGAAGCGTGGTCTGATGACTAGAAGCAAGGTCATGAGTGGCACGGAACCATGGGACCATCAGGCTGAGATCTAGGGCAGACAGGGCCGAGGGAGGCGGGTCCGGTGCTCCAGGGTAGGGCCCGGGACTAGGGACTCGTGTCTGTAATGGGCGCCATCTAACCCGCACCTGAAGGGACCAGCCTCCGGGGCTTGCTGCCTGGCTGAGGAGTAGCCAGAGACAGGCTTCTTGGCAGGTGAGGTTATCTTCCTCACTTGTGGGCTCCGGGAGTCAAACAGCCCCTCGTTTCCCTGGCAACACTGTCTGCTGAAAGAACGTGGTATGTCTTTGGAAAGCCTCATCCATGACTAAGCCAGAGAGAATGGTTCCCTCTCATGCCCGGCTAATTTTGGTGTGTTAGTTGATCTTTAACTCTGAGCACCATGTGTGGATGCTATTTCCACGGCCGCCATCTGTTTTAAATGACTGAAGGAATGATAGACAAGGGGGAGGCAGAGAGATGGGCCGGCCCATGTGTAACTCTGAGGTTCCTAGTGCCTCATAAATAGAGGAATAGGGTGCGTACCAGGCGTTACAAATGCGGTATTCTATTATTATTATTATTATTATTATTATTAGCTGGTCTTCTCCCAGGAAGAAAGCTGAGGCACACCTGAGTCTAATTCAGCGGGGGCCCTCCTGATAAATATTACTGTTTCTCCCCTTACCAGCCCTGTGACCTTTAACAAGTTAATTAACTTCCCTGAGCCTTGTTTTCTTCATCTGTACAATGGACATAACAATGGGACTGACTCCAGTGGGTGGTTGATGAACATTAAATAGGTTAAATACAGAAAAGACAGCAGTGGCTGGCCTGTGATAGGTGCTTGATAAATGTTTTCTGTTGTGCTGCCATTATTATTTTGACTTTGTCATCTCTATGTGCATTGCCCTCAAACACTTATTCAAACCTCTGAGTTCCAGATGTGTTTTGGAATGAAGAGTGCTCCAGACTTTAGAGGAGTAAAATAATACATCTATCTTTTGTTACATAACAGCCAGAGTGGCCTGGAGGGCAGCCTAATCGTTCAACATATTAGTATTTCTTCAGCAAACAAACAAGTATCCCTATTCGGTAGAATGAGTGAAGACTATAAAGGGCATTGCGTGAGTTCAGGTCATGTCACTAAGTGAGTTTTCACCCAACCCAGGGAGGAAGTTGGCTTTTCAGGGCTTGTGGATTTCTGACTGTAGAAACGAGAAAGGGAACTGGAAATGTCACTGCCATTTCTATGGTCTAGGGTCTTACAGGGCAGAATGTGCATGTGCAGGGATTAGCAACCACCACCAGAGCATCTGTGCACTCACCTCCGCATATTCATGGAACGGGGTGATGCCCAGCTCCTTCCAGTAGGCTTTGGTGTCTAACTCCACTCTGTATACCCCTTCCACGAACTTCTCCGCGGTGGTGAGCCCATGGAGCTCTCCAAAGTCACTGGTTTTCCTGAAAGGGCAAAGATCCAGGCTAAGCTAGGCTTTAGGGGCAAGGACACCACACACACATACACACACACACCCACTCATACACACACACACTCATACACTTTCTCTCTCTCACACACACATACACACACACACACTCATACACTTTCTCTCACACACATACACACACACACTCACTCATACACACACACTCATACACTTTCTCTCTTTCTCTCTCACACACACATACACACACACACCCACTCATACACACACACACTCATACACTTTCTCTCTCTCACACACATACACACACACACTCACTCATACACACACTCATACACTTTCTCTCTCTCACACACACACATACATGCACACACACACACACACACTTTCTCTCACACACCCACATACACACTCACACATACACACTCACACACTCAGGAGCAGTCTGTGTATGTGTATATCTATTTTTCTCAACCAGGCAGATTAGAGAAAACTCTACTGTCTGAAATGCACTGACAGGAAATTGGTCAGAAATGTTTCTGAAAGCTCATCCATCATAGGTGCTTTCCTCTCAGGAGAACAAGACGGAAGTATAGTGTTTCCCCTGAAGAAGAGTCGTCACCCTTCAGGGTTGGTGCTTGGGTAGAACTTCGTGACAAGCCCTGGAAGCGGCCCTAAGTCTCTCTGACTCCCGTTCCCCATGACACTAGGGTCTCATGATGTGGGAGTCTTTGGAGGTGGTATCGTTTGTACACGTAGTTGAACCCCAAAATACAGTGAGAAACATGTATCTGACTCTCCCATCGTTTATATGTTTAATCTCTTTGGTAACTCTTTGTCAATAACAAATACTAGGCAATTCCTTTTAACTTTTAAAAAAATTGGTCAACTTCTATTTCCATACAAGTTCCAGTTCAATAGCTGTTGTCGTTCCGCGAAGACTAAGACAGATAAATTGGAAGATATCTTTACTGCCTCTGCCTCTGACCTTTGCCCTCCACCATTCTTTTTTTCCAGGAAGTAAATCTTTCAATATCCTTTTTTTTGTGTGTCTTGTCATAAGAAAAAAGATTCAGCCAAAACCGGTTTGGCTCAGCGGTAGAGCGTCGGTCTGCGGACTGAAAGGTCCCAGGTTTGATTCCGGTCAAGGGCATGTACCTTGGTTGCAGGCACGTCCCTGGTAGGGGGTGTGCAAGAGGCAGCTGGTAGATGTTTCTCTCTCATCGACATTTCTAGCTCTCTATCTCTCTCCCTTTCTCTCTGTAAAAAATTCAATAAAATATATTGCTTAGAATGCTCTTAACAGCTTTCCACATCATGCTTGGCATTCTTTATAAAAGCAAATGAATTAAGAAATAAAAACTCCATTGGAACCACACCAAAGGAGATGGCCTTGCCAGTGATGGGTGAGACTCCTAATGTGGTCCTTGGATTCTGTTAAGGCCTACAGAAACTGGCTCCCTGGAGACAAGCACTTACAGGATTACTTCCTTCGGAGGCTCCTTTCTTTCAATTAGTTGATGGAAGTTCACGAATATGCACTTAAAAAACAGGCTTGCCAGTGGAGGCGGAAAAACTCCCTAACCATTGTGAAGCGGTCGTGGAAGGTTGTTTTGCCCCTGGCCTGTGGCTGGGCTTTGTGTGATGCGGCTCCCTCTCCGGGCTCGTTCTCACCCTCACCGAGCCACCGGCCCCTGGCCCTGAGGAGCAGGCGCAGGCCCTGGTGAAGGCCCTGGGTTCCGGGTGATCCAGGAAGGCCTGGTCAGCCCGGCCCTCGGCTCCTTTCTTCATTAATAAGCAAAGAATTGTATGTCTTCCCTGCTATTCCAGGACAAGGACTCAGCTGGAGGGTTATGTCCGGTCACCAAGGAAAGCCCTGAAGTTCCATGTGCACTTTCGTACGTGTGTGTGTGTGTGAGTGTGTGTGTGTGTGTGTGTGTGTGTGTGAGTGTGTGTGTGTGTTTTCCTGGCACGGAGTCCCTTTTTAAAACATTCTGTGACCCTAAGGGGGGTGAACCACTGCTGCGTGGAGCAGGTGGCGGGCTCCTCCCCACCGCCAGCCCAAGTGCTGCTCAGGCTCCTGCTCACTCCCAGTGCGCGCAGCCAGGGAGGACTCCTTCTCAGGCCCTGGACCTCTGCCCGAATTGTCACTCTGTGTGTAGATTCTTTAGCGAATGATACGAGCCCCCCTCTCCAACACGTGGCAGGCGAACGGGAGATAAACCAAAGCCCCCGGCTGGCGGGGCAGCTTACCCCTCGGCGAAGGGCTCCCAGGCCCCGTCGGCAGTCCTCTTGAACACCTTCACGGCCACGTTGACAGCAGGGCTGCCTCGGACAGCATCCAGGACCTTGACCATCAGGGGACACTTGGACTCGCCAGTGCCCTGGGCATGGAGGGGAAAAGGGAGAAGTCAGCAGAACTGGCAGGACTGAGAGAGTCTGTTCCTCCTGGGACGGTGTCTGCCGCAGACACGCTGCAGGTAGCTGGGGCATGCATAGTGCATTTTAGGGGTGCCGCAGGCCCCTGAGCACAGGTGCTTTGTTAAGCTTCGCCATTTGAGGGGGATTACTGGAAAGATGTCCTGTGCCATCGAGCCAAGTCGTTTTCCCGGAGAGCATGTTAGCCATGTTAGCTATGTAACATGTTACATGTTAGCCAGTAGCTGCTGCAGTAAAGCCCCCTGACCAGTTGCAGATTCATGTCCTCACCATTGGGTAGGATTAGCTCATTCTCCTACAGACTTAAGAACTACACATCTGACTGGAGCACTGTCTCCAAGCTTTTCACAGATTAACCTGTAAATACTTCATTTAGACTAGCTAAAGGGAAAACACTTTATAAGAGGATGTATTTCTAAAAATTCAGTAGGAATAGCTTCATGAATACCCTGCCTTTCTTTCTACCATCTGCCTGGGGAAACTGAGGCACCATGCATGGCAACCCCAGTGCACCAGGGCCGTAGAGGAGAGCGCCCAGAACCCAGCCCAGCCCGTGAGCTCTGCGGGGCTCCATCCCTTTTGAAGTTGGAGTCGATAATGTTTAAAAATAGATCCCAGTGCCCTGGCCCCAGGAACAGAGGCCGGATGGCGAAGCTGGAGGCAGTGGCTCCTTCATGTAGCGCACATGGGGATGCACACAAGGACTCGGACACTCACCGCAGGCCCGGCCTCCGCCGCGAACGCCAGTCCCGCCAGGCAGAGGAGCAGGAGACGGAGGGCAGCCATCCCGGCAAGACAAGAGCCACGGGCCTCTGGCCGGTCGCTGCGAGGCTGTGGCTTTTATACCCACTCCCCCAGGCCAGGCCCCCATCCCTGCCCACCTGACCCCAAAGCTGCTGACTCCGATTATTGACTTAGTCAACAAAGGGAGAATAAGTAACCCACTCAAATATGAACCTTGTCTGGAGAGATTAGAGCGTCGGAACTTAACTATGAAATATTCTTAACGGCTCATCTGACCAGCTGGGTGCCCAAAGCCAAACCTGCCAGAACAGCACACACTCGTTCTGCACCCTCCTTGGCGGGATGAAGTGACATTCTTGGGATTTTTCCCTCCTTTACCTATTTCTGTGCATGCTTTCCATTTTCTGCACACTTTATCTTTGGTTTGAGATGGCAGATGCAAGCTGTAAGAGTTGCTTTCACACCGAATGACACTTGCCGCACAGGCTTAGTGGTGTGCGTTAGGAGACATCACAGCACTTGGTATGTGCCCATGAGGCAGCAAGAAAACGTCCTTGGCAGCGCTTACATTGTAAAAAGTCCATGTTTTAGCCAAATTAAGTTTTCTGGAAGTTCAGTCAGGAATTCTCCAGTCTTGTTCTTCCCAGACAAGGCTCATGCCAGCCCAAAGAATGATGCCAGCCCCGCTCGGGCAGAGGCCCGCAGTGAAGAGGCCACACGGCCTCGCTGCTCTCCCGCATCGCCTGTGCGGGAACCCGGCTGCCCAGTCGGTTCCTGTCGGCGTGCAAAGTCCCGGCAGGAAGGACAGGCGGCCGGGGGAGTGGAGGCCTCAGCTGGCAGGCGCTCTGCCTCTCCGTCAAGTGAAAAGTCCAAGAAGTGGAAGACTTTATGGTGTAACCTCAGGTGCCACCCTCCCATTTCCGAGGCAGGATTGCCAGCAGCATCGTCGTACTCAGCTCTTTTCCCTGTCCCTGCACGTCCCGTTTCTCTACGTTCTTGCCTGGCCTCTGGGGAATTTGCCTTTGTAGCTGCTGATCTTATAGCCTTTGAAGCAGTGAACGACAGTTTATTTGCTTTTACTGAATAGACATTCTCACTCCTTGAAGTGGTTGCACCAATTTCCATTCCCATCAACTGCCCGAGGGCTCCCTTCCCCCACATCCTCGCCAACACTTACTCCTTCTCCACAGCAGCCATTTTAACAAGTGTGAGGTGATAGTTCATTGTGGTTATTCATCATTTGTGATGTTTAACCTAAATATGGGAACTTTTGCCTCTCATCATGTTAGTCCCACCTCCCCTCGCCATCCTATTGACACCGGGTAACAGCTGATTCTGTGATTGACTGCAAGTAGCAAGCCTCCCAAGCCTCATGCCCTTGGCTGCTGTGATTTGCTTGCCCTTGAACTGTCATTGATCTGGAAATCGTGAATAAAATTTGAATTTGAACAAGAGAAGAAGGTGGAGGGAATTCAGAGTACAAATGGCAATTCAGAGTACAGTGGCATACCAGATCTGATTGTTGAATCATTGATAAACTTAGATGTTATTTTTAACATAAGAAGAAGAGGAGCCCTGGACAGTTTTCAGGAGAGAGAAGGGAAGGCTGAGAGAGGAGGAAGGAAAAAAGGGAGAGAGAAGGGAAGGCTGAGAGGAGGAAGGAAAAAGCAGAGGAGAGTGGGCATGCATTCTTGGCCAGAGGACTGTTTGGTGGAACAAACGGCAATCACAAGTACAAGGGAAGCCCAGCGTGCCCCAGGGAGAGGAGTTTGTGAGGATGGGATGTGGACAGCGAAGACTCCCAGAGATAAAGGCTCTGCCGTCCTTGTGTTGAGTGTGTAGATGCTACATAAGATCCACCAGTTAAGGTCAAGGGTCGCCACATTCCTGGAGGCCTGAGGGGTTGCTGTAGAGACTGTTCTGGAGTGAATAGCAGCAACAGCACGGCCCCAGTGCCAGAAAGCAAAGGAGGCTCAGGGAGACATACACGCAATGGAGTTATGTCCTTTCTTAGCCACGTGCGGTTTCCTCTGCGTTTTTACTGTAACCTAGAAGATCGGTTGAAGTAAAATAGACTGATTTGATGATGAGGATCCTCCTCCTACTCCAGGCTATGAAGCGGTCAATGGATAATTCAGACCTGTGCCTAGTTTGAGGTGGTTCTGCCCTCTACCTTATAATGGATAGGCTTATTTATTAACATTTTAAAATATAGATACACTCCCTCCCCTTCATTTATTTCCTGAGGGTACATGTCAGCTGCTGGCCAGTGATCTGTTCACCTTGAAATGCCCTCGGATGTGATTTTGAGTGAGCTGATTAGCCAGAGTGGAGAGTTAGCTGGTCAAGTGCTTGAATTGGTCCCGGCGGGGGTGGGGATGGGGTGACAGAATTTGGGGGCTTAGACCTTTGCAGGTGAAAGAATTTAATTTTGTCAGCTCCCCGGCCAGAGTTAATAAGCCCTGGGGGTTTGATTAATAGTAAGCAAATCATAAAAGACTCATTTTAAAACTATAATACCAATTTAATTAATAGTCTTATGATTGCTGAGTAAGCAAGAAATGAGAGCAAAGGGATTTGGCAAACTTGCTGAATTTCCACTTCACCATAAAGTATGTTTTTCCTGTGCATGGAGTGCGTGGGTCCGCCTTAGCTAGCTCATCTTTCTGCAGGGATTTCGGAATCAACACTAAAACGCTATTTCCTTTGTCTCTCCTTCTTTCATGTTCTATTTGGACAACCATCCAAGTAAAGCAAACATTGTGTAGAATATGTTAATTAGATTGCATTGTATTTTTTCAGTAATTGCCATTTTAGTTCCAAGGTTAAATCTTAGCGGCCATCTAGTTGGGAGCAACAGTTGGAGCCTGCCTCGTGTAAGACCTGCACAGCTTTCACTCTGCCTGCTGAGTATCTGGGGACTTTGCAATCAGGAGCAGCCACCCAGCCCCACACCAGCTTAATAGCCACCCTGTCTCTACCTGGGGAACTTCAGTGTGCCTTATATCAGTAGCTCACATGATTCGAAGTCAAGACATCTATCTGTTCATTGGTCTGATTTTGTATCTGTCTCAGTCATCACAGATGTGCTAAGGATTTTTATCTAGAATTGGCCAGTAGATGAAATTAGAGTTTTGGCTTCTAGAGTCGCACAAAGCTCACCCACCCCCACCCGTGAGGGGGAGAAATGCAAACAGAAGAGGAAATGGAAGGCTCTTTTATCCAGTTGGCAGGTTTTCTGGGGTTTCCCTCTGAACCCTGCAGCCCTCATGCAACTTGAGTGGCAATGGGTCTGAGGTTGCAGGCCCCTGGGCGGCCATGCTGTGAAGGATAAGCAGGGACCAGGGGATGGCCTGGTGGAAGGTGATGTTGGACAGATGATGAGAGAGTAATGGAGACACTGAAGCAGGTTAGTAGGGGTAAGAGGCATTGTAGAGCCTGAGTTCTGATGGGAACTGGGCCCTGGAGGGTTCCAGATGCCTTGCTTTCCCCAAATCCCCCCGCACAGATGAGAAGGATGAGATATACAGTGGTATCAGGGGAAATAGAAGAAGCTGCTCCATTTGGAGGTGATAAGCCCAGGGAATCCACTTTCCCAAGCCCCACCAGGCAGCTGCAAGGCAGAGGGGCCACCCTACATATCTTATGTAGCCTGTTTGTTACTCATGGCCTGGGAATTTCAGCCATCTCACCTGAGGCCTAGCTAAAAGTGTTTGGTTATATTTGTTGTTGCTACTGTCTGTTTTATTGGGCCCTTGGTACCTCTCCAGGTACCAAGATGAGAGAGCTGCTCTGGGCACTAAGCCCTCAGGGCGGGATAATCTGTTTTGACAACGTGCGAAAACCAGAGTGAGCAAAGGTGGGAGGGTACCGAGCTTGGCCTGAGAGCGGGAGTAGAGCAGTGTCTACTGCGTGGATTATGTAAACTCACGAAGATGAGCCAAAACACAGTGTGAGGTTGAATGCTCTCCTGAGAAGCGTGCGTTTTCCCATAACAAGGACACAAACCTTTCTGGTAATTTATGGCTATGACTCATGGAGTTCTCTGCTTCCTGAGGTGGGTAAACCCTTTGCCACTAGGGTGTCCATGTGAAAGCTCACTGACCATCAGTGAGGTGTATGGGGTGGGGGGTTCATAGTGGGTTTGAGATGGGAATTCATGGCCTTTGAAGTCCGCTCTAATGACAAGCCTAGGTAAAGGAATTCGGGTTCTGAGTGATGGAGTGACCGAATGAAAAGGTATGCACTGGAGGAGGAAAACCTACAGGCTTAGAGACTACTTAGAAAGCTTGTTGTTGTCTGTTCAGTAGGGTAAAGGTTACCTGTGTTGTCTGTCCTCCTGTAGTTATTGCAGATCTTTGAGTCTCTATGCACACATGTATTTATTAACCTAGGATCCATAAACTGTTCGTGTCTATGAGTAAAATTCAGAAAACTTGATATTGGCTGGAAAAAATTGCAACTTTATATAAATTTCTGATTGAAATTTAGCATTTCCTTAAATCACAAATGTAGTTATTAACAGTACCTATGACTTTGCCACCAATAGAAGTCAGAGGTATTTTCATATACATCTTATTGATGAATATATTCTTTATGTTCATCACTACTTTGAAGTTATGGTAACTATTAGATCCATTGCTAGATTTTGTAATTAACAAGGATGCACACATATTACTGTACTGTAATTTAAAAAATGTTTTAATAGTTGTCATTTCAATGTAATTGATTTTCTTTGTAATCTTATGTATTTAATTTTGTGCACAGTGAAGTTAAGAACCTGGGCAAAGTGACAGAATAGACCCCAGGCCAGCATGGATTGGCTGCAGTCTAATGGAATAAAGAAAGAAAATAGTAGTCATTCCTGAGATTGGTTAGCAGTGGACGGAATTAAAAAGGAAGTTGTAGTGCTGGCTATTCGGATTGAAGATTTACAGACAGGGCTTTCCTTGGATTAGGGAAGAGTGCTGCAAAGACTTCTCGTGGAGACAGAGAGCATATGGGTCACTCTGACCCAGGTGCCTGCTGGACTTCTGGTGGAATTCATCACTACACTGGAATTATTATTTATACTTCGGCGTCTGTCCCCTAGGCTCCCGAGAGTCCATCTCTGAGCTTCTAGACGCAACAAT